TATCACAAGCTACTCCAAAAACTATCTTGTGGACATTCTGCACATTTCTTTCCTTGGGATCCACTACCAACTTAATTTTCCCAGCCCACCTGCATATTGAAGTCCCCCATGAATATTGTAATAGTGCCTTTCTCACATCCCTTTTCTATCCTGATTTATTTTCTTTCCTGTGTACTAACCACTAGCAGGCTGTACATAGCTCCCATTAGGGCCTTTTATTTCATTTGCAGTTCCTCAAATCTATCCACAAAGATTCTATACCTTTCAACTCTATATCACTTATTGTTATCAATTTAATTTCATTTCTTACTAATAAGACATCTCTGCCCCGTCTGCCCATCCTTTGAATAGTTACGTGTATCCTTGGATATTTACTCCCCAGCCCTGATTCCTTTGCAGCCATGTCTCTGTGATACCCACAACATTGTACCAGTCAATTCAATCTGTACTACAATTTCGTATACCTTGTTTTGTATAATGCGTGCATTTAAACACATCACAACACATCAGCCTTACGTTGACTCCCCCCACCTTCTCATAGTTGTGCCCTTCTCAGATGATAGATTCCTGAGTTTTTCCATACTATCTGTCTTAATAATTGTTCTGGAAACTAATAACCTTTGCCGAGCTCTACCCCCATTCCCCACCGCCACCCCCATACCCATTTAACTTTTGCCTTAATTTTCCATGCAACTTTCCCCCCACCCCCACCTCCCTCCTCCACTATTCAATTTAAATCCCAATCCACAGCCCTAATTACATGATTCTCCAGGACTCTGGTCCCAGTATGTTTCAGATGGAGCCTGTCCCATTGGAACAGCTCCCTCCTTCCCCAGTACTGGTGCCAATATTCCGTGAATTTGAACTGTTTCTCCCTCCCCGAACTTTGAGCTACACATTCATCTCTTTAATCTTGTTGACCCTGTGCCAATTTGCTCATGGCTCAGGTAGTAATCCAGAGATTAATATCTTTTTGTCTCTGATTTTCAGTTTAGCCACTAGCTACTCATAGTCCCTCAATACAACCTCTTTCTTTTTTCTATCTGTATCATTGCTACCTACATGGATCACAATAACTCAATCTTTCTCCTCCCACACCAAGTCCTCTGCAGCCCAGATGAGATATCCTGAATCCAGGTATGCAACACAGCCTTCAGGACCCTCACTCCTGGCCACAGAGAACAGTGTCTATTCCCATGACTATACAATCCCCAGTTAAATTTCATTTCCCTTTATCCCCCCTCTTGAATGGCTCCATGGCCAATGGCGCTATGGTCAGTTTGCTCATCCTCACTACACCCCCTGCTGTCATCCACACATGGAGCAAGAATCTCAAAACTATTACACAAGCTCAAGGGCTGACGCTCCTTCAGCACAACCTTCTGGATCCCTCTACCAGTCTCGCTCATCGTTATGTCTAGTTCCTGTCTGGTACTGTCTGCATATTTCTAATTCCTGTCCTACTGTCTGGTTATGCCTCATTCCTGTCTGAGATTTTCTCATTCTTGCCCAGTCATATCTGAGTAATGTCTAGTTGTGTCTAATTCCTACCTTGTGTGGGCTGGTTGTGTCTAATTCCCGTCTGAGATTATTTCATGCCAGTCATATCTTATGTTGTCCAGTTTTATCTATTTTCTGTCTGGTTTGTCTAATCCCTGTCTGATTGTATATGTTTCCTGCTTGGTGCTGGTTAGTTGTGTCTGATTCCTGTCTGATTGTGTGTAATTTCTGACAATTCCTACCTGTACCTGCCCTTCTGCATCAGATCATACCTGAGGCTATCTCTTTCTTGCCAGTCATATCTGTATGGTGCTGTCTGGTTGTATCTAATTCCTGTTAGGTGCTGTCTGGTCATGACTTGGTATTTTCTGGTATTGTCTCATTCCTGTCTAATGCTTTCTGATTATGTTTATTTCCTGTCTGGCTGTGTCTAATTCCAATCTGGTTCTGTCTGGCTGTGTCTCATTCCTGTCTTGTTGTATTGAATGCCTGTCTCCATGTGTCAGGTTGTGTCTAATTACAGTTTGGTACTGTCTGTTTCTAACTTCTGTCTGAGATTATCTCATTTCTGCCTAGTCACATCTGGTACTGCCTGGTTAGAATCAGAGAATCCCTACAGTGTGGAAACTGGCCATTTGACCCAACGAGTCCACACCGACCCTCCAAAGAACATCCCATCCCCATCCCCTACCTTATCCCTGTAATCCTGCATTTCCCATGGCAAACGCAGCTAACCTACACATCTCTGAACATTATGGGTAATTTAACATGGCCAATCCATCTAAGTTGCACATTTTTGAACTGTGGGAGTAAATCAAAGCACCTGGCGGAAACCCATTCACACACTGGGAGAATGTGCAAACTGCACACTGACAGTCACCCAAGGGTGGAATTGAACCCGGGTCCCTGATGCTGTGAGGCAGCAGTGCTAACCACTGAGTTGCCCCAAAGAAAAGATGGCAGCTTCACAGCACCACTGCTGAGATGAGCTTTCAATTAATCAATTGAATTTAAGTTCCATGAGGTGCTGTGGGATTTGAACCTTTGTCCCCAGGACATTAGCCTGACCCTCTGGATTCCTAGTCAAGGGACATTGACATCACCATCACCATCACCATCACCATTACCCCACTATCCCCTTCTATCTAATTCCTGTTTGGTTTTGTCTGATTCTTGTCTTGTGCAGTCTGATTGTGTCTAATTCCTGTCTGCTGTGTCTAATTCCTGCCTTGTTGTCAGGTTGTCTAATTCATGTATGGTGCCACCTGCTCCTGGCCTTTGGAATCTGATCATATCTGAGGCTATCTCATGCCTGCCTTGTCATGACTGATGCTTTCTGGTTGTGTCTAATTCCTGTCTGGTATTGTCTGGTTGTGTCTGGCTATATTTCAGATTCTCCAGCATCTGTAGTTCCTGCTATCTCTGTGTCTACTTCCTGTCTGGTTTGGTCTAATTTCTGCCTGATGCTGTCTAGTTGTGTCTGATTTTTGTCAGGTTATGTCTGGTGCTGTCTGGTCATTATCTAATTCCTGTCTGAGATTCCTATCCAGTTACGGACAGTGTTGCTTGGTTGTGTCTAATTCCTGTCTGGTACTATCTAATTGTGTTTTATTCCTATCTGATTGTGTTTAATTCCTGTCTGGTCCTGTGTGTTTGTGGCTACTTTTTGTCTGCTGCTGTCTGCTTGTGCCTAATTCCTGTATTATTTTATCTGTTATGCCTGACTTAAGTTGTGTCTGATTGTGTTTTACAATTAAAACATCCCAAGATGCTTCACAAGAGCAATTGACATGTATAACACTGAGCCAAGAAGATAGTAGATCAGATGATCTGCAAATTATAAAAGGAAATTGAGTGCCTGAAGGGAGAAGGAGAGAGATTTAGGAAGAGAATTCCAGTGCTAAGGATCTCAGAAACCAAAGGCCCAGCTATCAATGGTGGTGTAATTCAAATTTGATAGGCTCAGTTCCTTCTGTTTATGTCTGTTTCTTGTTTTGTTGTTTCTGACTGTATCTCACCCCGTTTGGTTCCTATTTAGATATTTCTGACTGAGTCTCATGCTGTCTGGTTTCCTGTTTAGTTATTTCTGACCATCTCTTCCACTGTCTGGTTTCTGTTTAGTGGTTTCTGATCATAACTCATCCTGTGTGATTCTGATTTAGTCATTTCTGACTGTGTCTCACCCTGTCTGGTTCCTGTTTAGTTGTGTCTAACTCTGTTTCACCTTGCCTGATTCCTGTGTAGTTGTGCTTAACTGTGTTTCTCCCTGTTTGGTTCTGTTTGACTCACCCTATATGGTTTTTGTTTGGTTAGTCTGACTGTCTCTCATCCTGTCTGGTTCCTGTTTGGTTGTGTCAGACTATGTCTCACCCTGTCTGGCTTCCTGTTTAGTTTTGTCTGACTGTGTCTCACCTTGTCTGGTTTCCTGTTTAGTTTTGTCTAACTGTGGCTCACCCTGCCTGTTTTTTGTTCAGTAGTTTCTGACTGTATCTCATGCTGTCTGGTTCTTGTTTGGTTGTTTCTCACTGTCTCTCACTCTGTCTGGTTCCTGTTTCGTTGTTTCTGACTTTGTCTCACTCTGTCTGGCTGCCGTTTAGAGACATAGACATCTGCAGGACAGAAAAAAGCCCTTCAGCTCATTGTTTGTGCCGAACAATAACAATCACGTAACTTGTCTTGTGTGCTTTAGTATCAAAATGCACATCTGAATACTAAAACGTTACGAGGGTTTCTGCCTCTACCACCCTTACATGCAGTGAGTTCCAGATTCCCGCCACCCTCTGCATGAAAATGTTTTCCTCCCCTCCCCTCTAAACCTTCTGCTCCTTACCTTAAAACTATTTAAGAGGGACCCAACCTCTTAATCCTTTACTGATTTATTTATTCATGCAAATTTTATTTGCACCCACCAAGTGCCACTATGTCCTTTCTATGGCAGCCATATGTGCATGTAGTGTTCTAACCACGGTACAGGTTTGGCAAAAACAACTTCCCTTCTTTCAAATTTAACCCTTTAAAAACAAATATTACTGCTTAGTTTGTTTTTGTTATGGGCTTAATAACCTGCACACAAGTTCTATTGATTAGTAGATTGATTTACACTCCAACATTTCTTTGTTCCTCCACGCTACCACTACCAAGACACACACCTAAGTAATGTGGCTTTCCTGTTCTACTTACTGAGACATGCAACCTCACATTTCTGTGTTGAAATTCATTAGCTAAATATTTGTCCATTCTGCAAGTTTGTTAACATTCCCATGAGAGTTGTTACAGTCCTTCTCAGTATTCGCACTCTCTCCGCATCCCAAAATTTCTGTATCATCTGCAAAAGTGGAAATTGTGCTTTTGATGCTAAAGTCCAGTTGTGTGCCTCACTCTTCTGACAGTTGTGAGTTTGTTAGATTTCCTGTATACTGTGTAGATTTATCTACTGGCCTTTGAGTTGTGTTCAAAAACTGGCCATACAATTGCTTGCAAAAGTTTCTCTTTTGGTTTAGTTGCAGCAGCTCTGAGTATGAGATGGAAGATGATGAAGAGGAGGAGGAAGATGAAGAAGATGAGGAAAATGCACAAGCTCCCTCAGACCTGGGTGGTGTCCCCTGGATGGAAGCTGTGAGGATTCATCGGTTACTGAAGGGTGACCTGGAGGGAGACAGTGAGCCTGAAGATGAGGAGCAATCAGAATCAAGTTATGGTGAGTGAATTCTTGTGACCAGGAGAGAATCTCTTGTTGATTTGATTATAATTCCATTCTGAGGCACAAGATCCCCCAACCAGTGAAGATTAGAGAAGGTAGACTGGCCCTTCGAGTGACAGTGTGACTGGGTTCAGGCAGCTGGTCCCTTGTGTGGTGTCCCAAGGGTCTTTAAGGGGATTCCGCATTCAAATGTGTTCTTAAAAAGTCAGGAACAGAGACCTAAAGCTATTAGAGGGAAAGACTTGTGGGTAAATTACTCGAAGGACAGGTATTGGGGAGTAACTTACGAATAAAATAATGGCACAAATGGAGAGCATTCTGCCCATAGAGAGCATGCCAGCTCTCCATAGTCCAGTCCAGTCATCAAGTGCAATTTTCTGTTGATGTCATTTGCTTCTCAAATTCTGCCGTCCTCATCGGCAGCGAGCTGCACGGTACCACCACCATAGAAAGTCTCCTTGCCTACACACCCCATTACACCCTATATCTCTATGTCTCTCTTTCTATATTACATTCTTCCTGCCAGTTGTCTGGGTACTGCTAGCTTATCGATATCCTATAGTATTCCAATGTATTCCAATATCCCAGTAATTTATGATCCGAGCACTGAAGCTAAAAAAAATCAGGGTAGTGGATACATGGAGAAACCACCATCAATCTTTCATCATTCTGACCTGGAACTATAAGACACAGGAGCAGAAGTAGGCCATTTAGTCTATCCATACTGCTTGACCGTTCAATCAATTCATGATTGATCTTATAATCCTCAACTTCAATTTCCTGTCTTTTCCCCATAATCCTTGATTTCCTCCCAGATCAAAGATTTCTCTATCTTATCCTTGAATATACTGAATGACCCAGCCTCAACCACCCTTTGAGGTAAGGAATTCTACAGATTCACTACCCTCTGCTAGAAGAAATTCCACTTCATCTCTGCCTTAAATAGGCAAACCCCTTTTCTTAGATGATAATCTCTGATCCTAAACTCCCACACGAGGAAAACAACCTTTCTGCATCTACCCTGGCATGTCTCCAGAGAAACTTATAAATTTCTGTAAAGTTTCCCCTCATTCTTCTAAACTCCAATGAGTACAGGTCCAACCTCCCCTCCTAAGAAAATACATCTATACCCAGGATCGCCCTCTGAACCTTTTCTGTGCTGCCTCCACTATATCACTGTTCCTTCATTATATCTAGGTCAAAATAGAACATAGAACAATTCAGCACAGGAACAGCCCACTCTGTCCATCCAATCATTTTGCCATTCTAAACTAATCCCATCTGCTGCTCATGATCTGAATCTCTATTTCCTGCCTGTTCATGTGTCTGTCTAAATGCCTGTTCAATGTTGCTGGAACTCCCCTCCTAACAGTTCTGTGTCCCTGCACCCCAAGGACAGTAGCAGTTCAAGAAGGCAGCTCACCACCTCCTTCTCCATGGCAATCAAGGATGGGCAGTAAATGCTAGCCCAGCTAGCAATGCCAACATCTAATGAGAGGAAAGAACAGGACACTGTTTACCGCCTTCGAGTCTGTCAATCGCCCATTTACCATGACTCACAGTTTTCTGTCCCAAAACCAATCTGTTTAGTGAAGCTTGTACTGATTGTCATATTCCATGAGCTTCAATTTAGTTACTCAGTCTTTATGTGTTACTTTGTCAAACGCTTTCTTAAATTTTATAAAAACAGCATCCATTGAATTCCCCTCATCAACCTTCATAAAAAAATTCAGTTAAGTTAGCCAAATTTAATCTCTCTTTTGGAGATAGCAAGAACTGCAGATGCTGAAGTCAGAGTCAATGCAGTGTGGAGCTGCAGGAACACAGCAGGTCAGGCAGTATCAGAGGAGCAGGGAAGTCAATGCTTTGGGTCAGGACCCTTTATCAGGGCCCCGACGAAGGGTCTTGACCCGAAACGTCTACTATCCTGCTCCTCTGATGCTGCCTGACCTGCTGTGTTCCTCCTCCACACTCAGTTGACTAATCTATCCTTAGTAAGTCTGTGGCTGGCCAGCACATCTGGTTCTCCTTAATATACACAAACCTTGAACCTTTTCCCTGATAACTGCTCACCCTTTCTTCAATAACCAATTCACATTTGCCAGTCTCCATCATTATGATTCCTGCGAAGACCAACAAAGCAAATAACTAAATTTACCAACGAACCTCGACCAGAAAACCAATGGACAAGATTTCTTTTACTTTTGAATTAAAGGGCAAGTTGCAGTCAGTATCACCATTGAATTGCAGAAACAACAAAGAGAGATCTCACAAATTAGTCAGGCAATCCACTAATGTCACTAATTTCAGTACCAAGTCCTGCAAAGCTCTAAATTTTCTTCAGTAGAATTCCATCTTATTTCCTGTAAAGATTTAGTCTCCAATCAATAACCAACAGCACCTGCTGTTCCATGGGTAGTCTTCAAGAATGGTACACTTCCGCAGAACTTCCTGAGCTTCTGCTCATGATAGTCTTGATGATATGAGTCCTTTTATTCAAGTCTTCAGTGATAGGCTTGTGCAGTATATAACCAGTGCTAGATAATCACTTCCCCTAAAATAAACCAAGCAGCAGCAGTGACTGTTTTTCTTCATCTCTGCTCTAAAACCCAGCCTTCATGTTCTCACTTCCTAACTGCATCACTTGGTCACCTGAGCTTGAATGGCTTGTCCTTTTCGTTGGGTTTCAACCAGCTTCAGTTTCCCCAGAAATCTGAAGTTTACTGTTAGTTTCAGTTTTTTTGATTACTGAGAAACATAAAGACTCAGTTTCTCTATGCAGTTAAGCCTGATTCCAAAGGTCCAAACTTTGAATCCACAGATCTCATCACACATCCACTAGTAGGGAAAGATTCAAACATCACGGCAAGTGAGCCCATCCACTATCTCCGCCTTCACTTGCCTTAGCAGCCTGGATACCCCCAGACCAGGCAACTTATCCATACTAATTCATATCCAGAGCTCCCAGTAAATTCTATCAAGTTTCACCTTAATACCTTTGCTTCTGCTAATAATTTATCTGTATGCTACTCCTTAAGATTATAAAGTGTAAGAGAAGTAGACCATTCAGTCCATTGAATTTCTTTCAGCACTCTGTGAGATCACATCTAATCTGATAATCCTCACCTCCACTTTCTGATTTTTGCTATAACTCATGACTGTCTTACTGGTTAAAAATCTGTCTATCTCAGCCTTCAATATACCTAACAACCCAGCCTCAACAGCCCTCTGCAGTAAAAATTTCCATGGATATACTACTCTCTGAAAGAAGAAATTCCTCTTCCTCTCAATCTTAAATGTGCGAACCCTTATTCTGGGATTATGTCCTGTAATCCTAGACTCTCCTACAAGGGAAACAACCTTTCTGCATCTACCCTGTCAAGTCGTCTAAGAATCTTATATGCTTCAATAATATTGCCATTCATTCTTCTAAACTCCAATGAATACAGGCCTAAACTACTCAACCTGTCCTCATGAGACAGTCCTTCCACAACTGATATCAATCTAGTGAACCATCGCTACACTGCCTCCAATGCCAATATAGATTTTCTCCGATAAGGGGCCCAAAACCGTTCACACGATTTCAGCTGTGGTCTGACTTGTGCCATGCATAGCAAAACCTTACTTTTTTTTTAAATTCCATTCCATCTTGAAATAAAGGCCAAAATTCCATTTGCCTTTCCTATTTCCCACTGACTTAAATGCTGGCTTTTTGTGGTTTATTGATGAGTACTCCCAAATCCCTCTCTTCTGTAGCTTTCTGCAGTCTTTCTCCATTTAACTAATATTCAGTTCCTCAATTCTTCCTGCTAAAATGTAAGCCTCATATTTTCCCAAATATTCCATCTGCTAAGTCTTTGTCCACCTATCTAACTCCTTCTGCAGACTCTGTGTCATCTTCACCTCTTGCCTTCCCACCTATTTTTGTGTTATCCACAAACATTCACTTTCCTCATCTGAGTTATGAATGTATACTGTAAATAATTGTGTCCCCAGCACTGATCCTTGTGGCACTCAACTAGTTACAAGTTGCTATCCTGAAAATGTCCCCTTTATCGAAACTCTCTGTCTTCTATTAGTTAGCCACTTTTCTATTCATGCCAATATATTACCCCCAATGTCATGGGCTCGTGTGAAGTAGCCTAATTTGTGTGGAGCCTCATCAAATGCATTCTGAAAATCTAAACATGTTGCATTCACTGCTTTATCCATCCTGCTTGTTACATCCTCAAAGAATTCTAGTAAATTAGTAAATAATTTCCCTTTCATGAAACCGTACTGCCTCTGCTTGATCACACTATGTATTTCTAAGTGCTCTGCTATTACGTGCTTTATAATAGACTCTAACGTTTTCCTGATAACAGACGTTAAGTTGCAACACTTGCGCATTTATCTCCTCCCTCCTCACTATCCAAGGCCCCAGACATACCTTCCAGGTGAAGCAGTGACTTACCTGCTCCTCAATTTAGTCTATTGTATTTGCTGCTGACAATGTGGTCTCCTCTGTCTTGGGGAGGTGAGATACAGACTGGGTGATCACTTTGCTGAACACTTACATTCTGTCTGTAAACAAGACCTGAGCTTCCAGTTGCCTGCCACTTCAACACGCCACTGTGTTCCATTACAACTTTTCTGTCTTGGGCCCATTGCAGTGCTCCAGCGAGGTTCAGCGCAAGCTGAAAGAACAGCATCTCATTTTGCACTTTTTCAGCTTTCAGGACACAATATCGAGTTCAATAATTTCAGAATCTGAACAAAGCCTTCCATGTCCTTTTCCCAACCTCACACCCCAGACCCTGTCATCACATGGTCTGATTTCAGTGCAGCCAACCTATTTGCACCACTCATTGGCTGTTATCATTTCTCTAGCTTCTCTTCTTCCCTAGTTTACTATTAACAATCCCTTTGTTAGCCCATCTATTTCTCACTCTTTCTCCTTCTCTCCCTTTCTCTAGAGTCCTTCTCCACCTACTGCTCAGTCCTTTCTCCCTCTCCCC